TTTTTTTTAATAATATTGACACTGAAAGTGATATACTTATGGTCAGAAAAAGAGCTCTCATCAGACACTTCCCAGTTGTCAACACAAAAATTATTGTTTTCTAGTAACAATGTTATATCGAGGACTTCCTCCCACCCTTCGTAGTTTTCCGTACTCGGAAAGGTGAAAGTGGGAGTCGTCCCCCTATTGCATATAGATAGCTTAGTGCTAATGATAAAACCAAAGAGTGACTCACCCCTTTCGTTCGTTTCACCGCTTCCCCATAGGCAATGTTTTGCGTTGGTGTCGCATCCAATCACAAGCGAAGCTTGTTGCTGTGTCGCTGCTGCTACCAGTTCCTCTACCTCCGCTGGAGGGGTCTTTCTGCCGTGTGCGAAGTAGGCGGACGCAACATACGTAGGCCTTCCGTGCTGCGACAGTCTTACAGCTGCCAAGTCATCGGTGCTGTAAGAGGGACAAAGAAACGCTTTATATTCTTTTTTTTGCCAGGACGCAGGCTCTGGGCTTACCCTTAGTGCGGGCATAAAAAACTTCGTATCCGGGGATGTTTAGGCCCATGACGGTCGAGTCTCGAATCCAGGGCTCTTGGATGATAGCAAGGCCGTAGTCGTTCTCCCCTAGAAAGACTTTCAGGTTATCTGCGTATTTCACACCGAAATTATTAACAATTTAGTGTTCAAAAATTTGAAGTCTTTATTTAAACCAAATTTTAATCCTTTGATCGCAGGCGTATGTTAACTTCTTTTTTTTTTGAGTTACGCGTGTGGTCACAATAACCCAAAATCATTGCACAAACAACCGAACCATACCCAACAAAAGACCGTTTGCTTGTTCAAATTTCGATTCTAAGAAGAAAATGCTTTAAATAAACAAAAAAATAATAATAAAGTTTTAAGGATTTTAGATATTGGATTGGGTGGTCGCACGAAATGTCACAATCTGCTTAATTGTCAGGTTGTTAATATGGCGGCGAAAATGGATCTACCTTCTTTTTTGTATCATGTATGTATCTAACACAGAAAAATGGTACCAGGGAAAATGGAGTTCAAATATGTTAGCTGACTACTGTTGGGGACTAAAAAGAGATGTACCTGATGCTAAGTATTCCCGAAAATCCTAAATAAAATTAAAAGATCATTTATTTTTCTTCATTAAATACAGTTTTCAAGCGTATGTCATTAAATTTTACTTAATTGCTGTTGCAAAAACCCTGAGGGTGATTGAATTATTTTAATAATGTGGATTATTACAGATTAGTTGTAGATACAATTACTCTTAACATTTTGTTTAACCCACAAATTTTAAAAACAAAACTTGAAAGCCTTAAT